AACGAAATGCTGCCAAAATTTTTGACAAATTAGATACGTCATTCCTCCCCACCTCCTCATCCACTTTTTACTTCTTTATTTGTTTTATTTTTTTATTTATCTCTTTATCTATTATTTCCTTATTTATTTTCTGAAATTTCTTTTTTATTTGCGGCATCTTGACACCTAGTGTACTCACCTTGGTCTCTCCCTTCCCCTTGGCACATTCTTGACCCCGTGGGGGGTAGGGAAATGCTGCCGAAAATTTCAAAAGAAAAAAAAATAAAAATAAATATTATTTCCCTTCCCATCTCTTTACTTATTTTTTTAATTATTTTTATTATTTATTTATTTTTTTATTTATTTTTATTTTCTCTCGAAATCTCGCTGTTTATTTATTTTTCTCCCGTCTCTCCCCACTTATGCTTGCTATTGTACTTTCTTGATTAGGTCACCGGTACCCAACCCTAGCCACTTAAACCTCGGTTAGGGTTTTATAGGGTTTTTGTAGGGTTTAGGGTTCCTTAAAACCCCCCTACTTCCCCGTCCTCTTCGGGCACCCTGGACCCGAACCACCCCTCCCCCTTTGACGGCGCCCGTGCTAGCCTTGCTAGCGCCGTTCGCCGCTTTCTACCGCGGACTTCCCCCTACGCCCTCCGCTCACGCAAAGCTCTTTTGGCCCCCTCCAGTCCGGTTCGTCATCTCCCTATGGCCGACGGTGCGTCACACACCGCCGACACGGCGATGGCCACAGCATTGGGCTCCACACCCGTGCCGGCGGACCAGGGCCATCAGCCCCAGAGGGATCTACACACCCTCCTCACCTCCCTCCTTGCGCCCATCCAGGCACAACTCGCGACCCTTGCGCCCATCCAAGCGCAACTCGCGACCCTCGCGCCCTTACAGGCGCAGGTGGCGACCCTTGCCGCCGGCATGTAGCAACTCCAGGACGCTACGTGTGCGTCATCTCCTGGCTCCCAGTCCGGGTCCCCCGTCCTCCGACAGGGTGGCCAGGGCGGAGCTTCCTCCTCCGTTGCCCCTGACCCGGCCATCTTGGTGACTGTCCACGCTTCTAGCACGACGGCCGTCACGAGCCACGCCCCCCCTCAGTCTACGGGTGCCCCCGCCCAGATCCCGGTCACGACGGCCACGGTACAACAACCCGCTACCATGGTCTCAGCTTTTCCGGGTGCCCCGCTTCTCCCTCCCCTTCGCACGACCGCAGCGCCACCTGGCTCTCCCCCCTCAGGGATGCCCTGCGCCGCTTGTGCGTCCACCCCCTCCACTCTTCCTTCTGCCACCCCTCGATCGACCTACGTTCGAGGTCTCGCGGACGAGATTGCCCAGCTCCGGGCTGACCTCGCCCTCTTACGCCTTCAGCCACCCCCACCCTCACCGGTGGCCGCGCCTTCGGGCGCACCCCCTACCTCCTCTACCCTTCCTCCCATGCACGCTCGCTTTCCGCGCCCTGCACACTATACAACTCCTTCCTACCTTCTTCCTACTCCCGCGGTTGCTGCGACCTCTTCTACCGCAGTACCCTCGCAGCCTGCCGCTGTTGCTACCACCGCTCCCCCATGCGGCCCGGGCGCACAGTCAGCTGCGCCCTTTTCTCCAGGACCTACGCCGACTTACTCAGCCGTGGCACAGGCCTCCGCTCCTCGATCCCCTCGCCGCCAAAACGGTGGCGCACCACTCATCCGCTTGTCGGACATTGCCTTGTATGAGGGTACAGGCATACGCGCGTCTCGGTGGCTGCAGTCTGCCACCCGCACACTCCAGCTCATGGGCGCCACACCGGAGACATGGGTGGGTCACCTCTCCACGCGCCTGCGTGGCGGTCCTTTCGAGGCCTGGGAAAATTTTTATGCCTACTCCCTTCGTGAGAGTCGGACTCCGACCTTCGTGGATTTCCAGGCGTTCCTCGAGGATCGGTTTAGAGCCCGATACGACGTGACTGACGCCTTCGAGCGTGTCGTCACTACACGCTGGTCCGGCTCTGGTGGCGCTGTCAGCCTGGATCGCCACATCCAGGTCTTTCAGGACGCCCGCCTCGTTTGAGACGTGGCGTTCGTCCCCGAGGCTGCCCTTATCGATCGTTTCTTGGCCAGCCTTCTGCTCGAGTACCGCTCCGAGCTATGGCGGTACGAGTTCACATCGGCCCCACAGGCTTACGAGGCCGCTAAGGACCACCAGCGGATGCGAGCCCGTCTTCACCCAGCCTCCTTCTCCCAGCCCCAGCGCACAGGCTATGCCTCCTCCTCCTCTCACGGCACTTCCCAACGCCGTTCCCCTTTCCGCAGTCGCCCCCGCCGTTCCACGCAGCAGGGCCGCCACTTCTCGCGCTGCTTCAGCGCGTTGGAGTATGGTGAGCAGGACGCTGTTACCCCACTGTAACCTGAGGGCGACCACAGCGACGACCTCGATCTCTGCGAGGCCGTCCACTATCACTTGGAGGACTCGACCCTCCCTGCAGCTGAGCGCCTTCAGCTCGCGCTCTCCGCCCTCTCTCGGGCAAGCAGCCGCCGCGGTCACGCTGGCGCGTCGCCCCCCGAGGTCCCTCAGGAGGACCTCCCTCAGGACTTCGTCCCTCCTCGCGGTGTCCTTTCCGCTGAGGAGCGCGCGGCTTATATGGGCCGATGTGGGTGTTTGCGCTGCCGCTTGGACGGTCATACCTCCTCGCGGTGCCCTTACACTACCGCTCTCGACCGCCACTACGCCAATCTTTCTCATCAGCGTCGTGCTCAGTCCCCCCCCGGCGCCTCACGTCCCCGCGGCGCATCCTAGCCACGGTGCAGTGTACACCTGCGCCCTCCTCAGTAGTGGACTTCCCGACATCTCCGTCCTGGTTCGCCCCTCTCGCTACTGGAGTTGAGGTATCGCAGGACTCGACAGAGTGTACTCAGCCCTCTTTCCCAGTACCGTCTGCGCCTCCGCAGACCACCGTCTCCCCTCCTCCCCCGCCGCGACTACCGACGCGTCGAGCCATTCGTTCAGCCCGTTGCAGCGAGCAGCTTGCTACTCGCGAGGACGTTATGTCCTCTCTTATGGACAGGAGCGACTCACCGTCCATGTCGCTGCACTGCGTCGCCTTCTCGACATCCTCTCTAACCCTGATCGCACCCTCCCGATCATCCTAGTACGACTCGGGACCTCCACGAGGGTATACTCAGCGCTGTGGGATTCCGGTTCTCAGGGAGACTTCATTCACCCACGCGTGGTGCAGGAAGCCCGCTTACCCACGACAGGGTCTCCGACTCCCATCTCCGTTACCCTTGGGGATGACAAGACCCAACGCTTCTTCGATCAGACGGTCACCGACCTCCCCTTCTTCCTCACTCTCGAGCCGACTGATCGTTCCCCAACATCTCGTCGCCACCACTCCTCTGCACATTTCGATGTGATGGCGACGGGGTACGACTTCATTCTCGGCACTCCGTGGTCTCGTCGGTTCCGCAGCACCAAGACCGATTGGGCGACCAACACTCTCGTTCTCAAAACGAAGTGTGGACAGACGTATCGCGTATCTTTCATAGGTACCACGACGAYACCACGCCCCGATCCTCCTCCCCCGGAGCCTTCAGTGCCCACACCATCTCCCTCTATCACTGTCACCTCGCCTCGGCAGTTCGCTCACTTCATTCGATAGGACGACGTCACCTTCTTTATGGTGGACGTGACGGATCTCTTACACTATGATCCACATTGTCCCGACGCCGAGCTCATCCCTCTGGAGCCACATCCTCCCTCTATCTCCATGGCTCCCATCTCTAATTCCGTCCCTCCGCCGTCCGTCGAGTCCACCCCGCCGTCGGGCGCTGATGCTGAGGAACTCGCACGGTATACGGCTGACCTAGAGCCCGCAGTTCGTGACCTCATCCGAGAGTACCACGACGTTTTCCCATCGTCGTTCTCGTACGCCGGCATCCCACCGATGCGTGACGTCGAGCACTCCATTCAGCTTGTGCCTGACTATCGTGTTCACCACCAGGCACCCTACAGACTATCGATTCACGAGGCCACCGAACTCAAGCGTCAGCTTGAGGAGCTCCTGAGACTGGGTTTCATTAAACCCAGCAACTCCCCGTGGGGTGCACCCGTCCTCTTTGCTCGCAAAGCGGATGGAACTCTCCATCTCTGCATCGACTATTGCGGTCTAAACCGCTACACGGTTAAGAACAACTACCCCATGCCTCGTTCCGATGAGCTGTTCGACCGCCTAATAGGCAACCGCTTCTTTACGAAGATTGATCTTCGTAGCGGTTACCATCAGATCCGCGTCGTTGTAGCCGAACAGCCGAAGACAGCGTTCCGATCGCGCTTCGGCCACTACGAGTTTACGGTGATGCCATTCGACCTCACCAATGCACCCGCCACCTTCCAGAGGGCGATGAACGACATCTTCAGGGACATCCTGGAGCAGTACGTTCTCGTCTACCTCGACGATATCCTGGTCTACAGTCGTACCCTTGAGGAGCACCTCAGACACCTCCGCGATGTCCTTGACCGCTTGCGCAGACATGGCGTCTACGCCAAGCTGAGCAAGTGCCGCTTTGCCCAGCACAAAGTGGATTTCTTAGGACACTACGTGTCTGACGAGGGTCTCCACATGGACGACGCGAAGATCACTGCTAT